GTGAAGTAAGCGGGCAAACAGTTTACATACAGCACCACTTTTTGCTGCTAGTTTAGAATTAAATGCTTCTATTTATATGGAAAAAGAATACATACACATCAAGAGAGTGATTATAAAACTTTCTGTCTACCTCTAATGATAGCTAAATTCGAAAATATGGACACACACACACAAATACATACAACTGTTAGATATAAGTCAGCAGCTTCTAAATGCGTTCAGATGATTGCTTTCATTAGAAGAAGGCAATTAACGGTTAGTAATTCAACTTTCCCTCAAGGTAAACTTCGTTAGGAATCGAACTCATCAACCAGGAAGACCACTGAAAAATAGGGGAGCATTGGACAGATGCTTCGTCCTATCCCAGTATCGGGTATTATCCAGTGTTGTCATTATTCCTTTGAGTTCTGAGTGGAACATAGGGCTTCAACAACACATCTCCACTTTCTTCTATTTTCTGCTACCCTCTTCAGCTGGGTCCACGACTGCCCATAATCTCTCATCTCCTCTTCACACGATCGCCTCCATGTCACTCTCGTACTGACGACCCAATCTTCGCTACCCATTTGTATTCCACTGGACCCGCATTGTGCGCGATGTTATTCGACGGTCTCCTCAGTGACGTGTGCCCGATCCATCTCCACTTTCTCCTACATATTTCTTGAGTGTCTGGCTCTTGGCTGGTTTGTTCCCAGTGTTTTTTTGTTACTAATCCTTTCTGGCTAGTCATTCGATCTTCAGTATGGAGCCAGTGAACACAACTGTTGATTAAAGTCTGAAACCTGTTGGAAATCCCTTTCGCAACACGCAGTGCAAGTTTCTGAGCCGCGTAGAAGGTTCGACTTGACATTGGTATTGAAAATGCAAATCTTGTTCCTTATACCGAGTGCAGAAGATTTCCAAACTGGTTTCAGGTTGATGAAGGCGTGTCTTACATTTACGACTCTGACATCTTCATCCATTACGCCTATAGTTGAAGCGATGCTGCCTAGATAAGTGAAGGAAGTAACCTCTGTCAAATCTCTCCCGTTGGTGGTGATTAGTGCTGGTTGTTGTTGTCGCAGTTGGTTGATTATCTTCATCACCTCTGTTTTCTTCTTGTTCACCTGCAGTCTTATTTTCGCTGCCAGCCTTTTCAGCCAGCTTGTTGGTTTGTTCGCCTGTAAATCTTTGCATCGATGACCTCAATCGGGTATTAATATCTGCTACCTCAACAACATTTACAAAAGTGATATTCTGGTACTCTCATTTCACTGAATGATTTTTGAAGAGTATAGATTCTCTTGCTGATCCACTGAAAATGTTTCGCTTGTCTTAGACATGTACATTTACGTCTATTATTGTTACTGTTACCTGAAACATGAATTCTTTCACAAGAAATAAAAAACAAGACAAAAATCTGTTTTAAATAACGTTTTGCTACATATTACTATTTTATATGGCAGGCAACTGGATCAAAATACTTCTGCCTGTGAAAGTGAATCTGTCAGTCAAAACAAAAGAAGTGATAACAACAGCAGACATGCGAAGATTGTTAGATTTGATAAGTGTACAGATTATAAGGACAGAATGTGTTTGTGTTGTGAAAATTTTCTCTATCAAATCTGTGATGACAATACTACACACTACTACCGATTGGTACGAGTAGTTTTAGACCACTCATGTGAACGATATACCTCGTTTGACTCACCCAGCTTGGGGATAAACTTGGTCCCGAACGAACGAAATGGAAGTCTGGTGTTTACATCATAACTTCAATCTGGTTAGCAAGCGCTGCTCACATTAATCAATCAGGTTTAAACAGTACCACGCTCTTCCTCTTGTTTATTTTTTACTGCCATTATCGAGCAGATAACATTTTGTGATGTGAATATTATTGAATTTTAAGGGATACAGTGATGATTTTTCCACCTCGAAGTGTGCGATTCGTAAATGAAAAATCTGATTCTGCGCTGCTAATTTTACTCTGTGGAAGGAAAGACTGGTGAATTCAGCTCACATCTTACCTTATTTCCGTATTTCGCTTACGGTACTAAGTCTATCAGGGGACTAGAATTTGAATAGCAGTCAGATACTTATTCTTGTTCAGATAATCAGCAATCCATTTTATGTGAAGTGTCCTACTGCTGTGTAGAATGCTCTACAGTTTTGAACAGTTTCCTCAACGATATATCAAAATGACCGAAATCAGTCTTATATACCTTGTGATATCATAATGTGTAAAGCAGCATTAAGAAGTGAAGTGAGACGTCATTAATACACATGTGTAAAACTTGGACACTGTAGTAGCATGTACCTTAATATTAGTTTGTTTATTATAATATAGATCACACGGTGAAACAGCGTCATTTACAAGATGACGTTCCGAACAGAATTTATTGTTTATAACTATATCAAGTTGAAGTGAAAAACTTTGTGACTCGATTTTTAAAGCTCTAGTTTTTACTTTCACTTATCCTATGGGTAGTCGGATTTTCTAAATGTCCAGAACAAGGTTGGCGTCATTCTTACTTCATGTGTTCTCAGTTGATCCGATAAACAAGGCCTTTGTCAACCATCTCCCACTGACTTGCTACATTATACAGGCTCCACAGCATCCTTTAATTAGATACTAGTGGTTTCCTACTCATGTGTTGTAAGCAATGCTGAGCAAGGTTTCACAGGTACAATGTTAATAACTAGCCAAGTCCTGTCCTTGCATTAAAGTTTCAGAGGTTCCTTCTTTGCACGATAGCACTAGTGATACTTTAAACTCACTTGTCTTAGTGATGTCATCTTAATGCATAAATTTAGTAATCATGTAATTCTTATTGATTGATTTTGTTTTTATTCTCACAATCTTCTCCGCAAATACTCACAAATGTTATTTTACTAGCAAGGTCGTTACTTAGACAACATGATTCAGTGTATTTAACGTCATGTAGTAAATATGAAGTTGAATATGCAGGTCAAGCTAGAAGTAGTACGCCAGAGTCAGTTAGTTTATTAGAGCACAAAATCCTTACCCAAATCAAGATTAATAGACTTTACGAAGACAGAAAATGTGCGTCGGTGGCTTAGGGGAGAATGCTCGCCGACCATCCATGTAATACGGGGTTCGACCCCCGGTCGACGCACTCCTTTATCTCGTCAAGTCGGGAACAAGACCGGTACAGAGGGAAGGTTGGTCATGAGGCTAACAACAGCATCCTAAAAAAACAAACACCACTGCTACCGAAACTTTGAAGCTTTATCTTGAAGCCCTATGTTCCGCTGGGAACGAAATGGAAGGAGAAAAGAAAGACAGAAAATGTAGAAAAAGCAATTCAGTGTAATATTATTCACATGTGAGAGCGTGAAACAACTAAATGGTGACTGGAAGTAAACGGCATATTGCTGATTGATTCACAAGACAAGCTTAAAAGTGAATTCGTATTGAGATACATTTATTCTAATGTATTTGAACAGCGGAGCTACATGTCGTTTACATTCAGTTCTAGTTTGAAACTGTTCGACTTTTCGCAACTATTGCTTCTAGTCACGCCATATCATGAATTGTCAGAAGCCGGTATTTATGAGCCATTGGATCGTGTCCCACTGGCTTAGCGGTCTACTAGCTCGCCTTGTAACCGGAAGGCCCTGGGTTCGAACTCGGGCAGGTGAGTAATGTTGAAGAGTCCCAAACTAGAGTGAAACACCTGTCCATTACTTCCAGGTTTTCCTATGATCCTCTAACCAATGTCAGCTCATGATGAAATCCTGTAAAGATTGATATTGTTTCTGACGAAAAATTGTAAAACCACAGACGTCACACAGGAGTGCCTACTAGCCGGATATAAATTTATTCAAATGCCAAAGATCCTTTTAACTGTTTTCTGGCCAAACTCAACTGCAATGTACCCAGTTTGACTCAGCCTTGAGCTCATACTATTATGCTTTTTTCATCAATTTCAACATATACTAAACAAGCAGATCACATATCCTGACCTAGATGTTTCGAGTTTCTAAAGAAAAGCATTGGGAATTTGCGACCTACGTTTGTTTAATTCGTAAATCATAATTTATTTATATGACTGACTGAGCCTCAACATGGAACTTTGTATAAAACTGCAGCAGTTCAAAAATGCCACAATTCATACAGTACACAAAGTAGCTACATAAAAGAGAGAAAAAAGAAATTCAGATGAACTATAATGAGTAGAAATGTACGAAGGAAAGACAAGTAACATGGAGAGACATTATGGTTTAATGGATATGGGAGATCACAGAGAGTGAATGCATCTGCACTATCATTGAGAACGATTTTGAGACATACCCTACCAATTTTAACCAGCGATTAGATTTAAGCGTCCCGAGGAACCCAATCAGGCAGTCTACACCTGCCTTAGTGTCTGGCTCAAACTAACTGTCAGAGACTTCATAGGTTGATTCCACGTTTTTGGTTTGACCTTCACTAACTATCTTTTGACCTAATTCTGTCAGCTAAATTGCCCATCGAGGAAGGCAATGGTCAGGCATGAGCAACATACATCCTAGCTATCTCAAACCATTCACCATCACAACCCCATCGACTGACTTGCCCACCTTACCTAACAGCTCAACGCCTAACCTCAATATTACTCACCCTATTATACTATCTAACACCAGAAGTAGAATGCCAACACCTGTGATCAAAAACAGCTAACTTTTTCAGGTATTCCACTTTCAATGGCTATGTGTCACAGCGAAAAAGGACAAAGCGAACTACAGCGCACTGCACACACCCTATGATCAATATCTGGACATCACGTCTACTTCAGAGATGACGTAATTCAGCGAATTCCACACGAGCTTTTCGCATCCCTACTGAGATTTCGTCAGAAATCGGTCAACAAGGCTAATGTAATTGCTCTTATCTTATTCAAAGACAATACAAGTAATGTGGCGTAGTCGAACAAAACTCAGATAATTAAATCATGAGAAATGATAATTTTCAGCGATAACAGCTGTACAATTATTATACAAAAGGAAAGAAGACTTACAATCTGTAAAGTACTTGCTTTGTTGCTAGACTTTGAATTGCCTTTGAATTTCTCTTCAGACACATCCAAATCATAAAATGATTGAGTATCAGACAGGTCATCTGTAAGAAATGGCAGGGTAAAAAAGGAAAAAAACTCTTGATCAAAAATATGAAGATGAGAAAACCTTTTTTTAAAGAAGAAACAAGACTGAATACGATGATAGGGTATGATAACTATGGAGAGATAATCCAATAACCATAGGGCATCAGATACTGCAGAGTTATTTTCGCTTATCATAGACGTCAATTAATTCATATGACAGGTTCAGTGCTTAGGGAGAAAGACTCAGTGTCTATGTGTTTTCAGTCGTTGGTTTGTAAAGGGGTTTGACTCATTTGAAGTTGGATCACATCCTGGCATCTTTTGGAGAACGGTCTAATATTTCTGGCCACAGAATTCATTTATACCTTATTCAGAAGATTTCTCACACGCACACCAAAAGTGGGTTGTGAGTGTAAACATAGATGAATACATTTATGAAGTGAATTAATTGACCAACTGGTCAATGTAGAAAACGACCAGTTCAAAGCAAGACACCTTTAGAAGAAGCACGTCAAATAAGAGAACGGAAACAGTTGATAGAAAAGCGCGTATGACACTACAACAAATCATTATTTTCTTGACTGGACACGCAGTAGTAATTAATGTTATGAATCAAGACCTTCATTTGGTGCAGACTGAATTCAATGTCTAATTTGCAATGTGGTCACTATGCTAAGCAACCCACTGTCACCACTTTGAATTGTTGTTGTTGCTATTAGACGGCTGGAGGTAGTCATCGTCAGGATGCCTTCGACTTCGATTTCGTGCTTATTGGCACTCATCATCAAAGCAACCTTGAAGGAACACTCATATGCCTTCTGATATTTGAACCCCTTCTGCGCTAAACAAAGGACTGGACGCATGACATTAGTTTCTAGCTGGTGTCCAACCAAAGTATCCATTAGAGGAGTTCTACAGGAGGTCAATAGCAAGCCCGAACAGCTCAGTGGTAAAGTCTCTGCCTACAGCAATCACCAGGTGACACGGGTTAAAACCTCAGAAGGGACATGAGTTCCTTCCCACAAGATTTCAGATACGCCTTCCTGACTAGTGAGTGCCAACAGGCATGAAGCCTAGCTCCAGGGCATCCTGATGATTACGTCCAACCATTTAAAACCTCCTTACGACTTAAGATAGGACAATCAGGTCAATTCAAAAGCACAGTTGAATTTCAAAGTGGTATTATTGCTATTAATGTTATTATGTAAAAAAGAATACCTTAAAGGCTGAAGAAGAAACAAAACAATATATCCGATAAATTTATGCACAAACATGACAAAAGGACCCAGTTACTTAGACAACTTCATTTCTACTGTTACATGAATTAAATTTACATATGTTTTTTTTTAAATTCATGGAATTGCTTAATTTCAGCTTATTTAGAAAGAAAAAAAGAAAAGAAAAGACACATGATGATACTACACCATAATGTGGTGGAGGCTATTTTCTCTTTGTGTTATATTTATAGCGACCAGATGCAGACACACTGAATTAGGGAAGAGGATAGAAAGTAAGAAGGAAATAAAAAGATGAAAAAGAGGTATCACAAGTACGCATGTTATTCAGATTAGTAGTAAGAGGGAGAGAGAGAGAATAGCAGAACAACTAATGATATTTACAGGAGATGTATGCCAAAACTGTGCTTTATTCAATTGCTTTCACTTTAAGAGTGGGATGACGCTGATCACTTTGCCAAGTATTCTTTAAGAATTTAATTTCATCTTGAAAAACTCCGGCTAAGCACATATAAAGCATTTATGAGAAGTTCTATAGTTAAAACAGATGTCACTCAGCGGTATGAGCGCTCTACTTTCAGTCTCGGGTTCAAATCCCGCCCTACCTACTCTCTACAGGCAACAAACAGTGTACCTGGGTACATGAGAACCTGAGTTATGAAATCATGAGATGAAGTAGTGCAGTGTAAAATTACCAGGTATCTAGAAGAGCAAAAAAACTAGGGAATATACCACAGTAAAGTGTTTTATGTTTCTACAAGAAACATGAAAAACAACACTCATCGATTTACAAGTCATCCTGGCGAATAGGCTATTTTTTAAACAGGAAAACTACCATCTATCTCAATTGAATTTGTTATTATCCAATTAAACAGTTAGAGGTGAGAAAAATCACCACAGGTTCCCCTTAGAAACCGAGAACATTTAGGTTACAATCTAAGGTCTACTCAATACTATAATAAATAGCAGACAAGACAACAACATGGAATTACATGTTGGTCCCATACTGTTGATTATTGAGTGATAGGAAACCACCCACATCGGGCGGAAATGATTGTGAATCGGGCCTAACGCTTTGACTGGAAAAATAATACTAACAATAAAAGGGAGAAACCACCAAACGAGAAGTGAAACTTGTTTCTGACCCATCAAAAAGCCGAACATGACACCAAAGAAAGTTTATTATTTCGTAATCAACTTGATTTAACCATTGTTAGTCAATGCAGAGCTCTGCATGAACATAAACCACTTAACACTGACAGAATAGAAAAAGTAGAATAAAAGAAGATAACAAGAATGTAGTAATACTATAGCAGACAAAGATTTCCATATATATATATATATATATATATATATATATATATATATATATATATATATATAGACAGAAAGGCACTGAGGGAGGATTATTATTATTATTATTGTTCCCTTGTGTTCCTAGTGGAACATAGGGCTTCAACTGCACGCCTCCACTTGCTTCTGTCTTCCGCTGTACTTTTCACTTGCATCCATGTTAGTCCATACTGTTTCAACTCTTCTTCACACGATCTCCTCCATGTCAATGAAGATATCAAGATTATCAAAAGATAAGCAGCTGATGTATTTTCTTCACAACCATCAAGGATTTTAAACCATTTCGCTGAGAGTCAGTAGCCGTATCTCGCTACTGCTTCACTTTTACACAGTTACTTAAAAAGTGAGTTAGCTAGAACAAACTTTTCAAGTACGCGGGGGAGGGGGCTATGAGTCACACTTCCTGTATGGGGGTTGGTGATGCCACACCAATTCGCTCAGAAGTAAACAAATTCAACAGGATTCTAACCTCATGACTCTATTTGATTGTTTGAAAATTCAGTGCATAAGCCAATGAGTCAGTCATCATATCTGCCCCATTATTAATCAGAAGAATGTAGGAAGCACAGCCGTAGAATACTCACCAACCACGCCTCACGTGGTTTGGGGTTCGATCCCCGGCCAACGCACTATTAAACCGGTAACATAGGGAAGGTTTGGCGTGAAGCTAGTAACACCCACCCCTCCCCATTAAAAATAAACACTACTGTCACCGAAACTTCGAAGCTCAAGTTTGAAGCCCTATGTTCCATTAGTAATGATGATAATAAGTAACAAACTGCAAATAGTTTGATTAAACTTTCAATTATTCTCTTAGGCGCCTTGTTTTATATTGTCGCTTTTAGTTCAACTTTACAGAAAAAGAAATACAATACACTAATTTAAGTTTTTTTTCAATTAGGATCCATTTAAAAGATAACTTCCATTTAAGTTTTAAATTCATAAAATATAATTTTTCAAAAATGTATTAACATAATTCAATTCAATTAATAGATAATTTATTATACTGTTCAGTAATTAGATTAGCCTACTTTCAAAGGCATTCACGAAAGCACACACACACACATGTACAAAGACAAAGCTAGTTATTGAATGTTGGAAGGTAATTATTGTTTCCCAGTATGAATTTCGACAGAAAACCGAACAAAAAGAAGACGTAATTTATCTGAAACTTGTAATACCGTATTCGTGCCACACTTACTTAGGACATTCTGGTCACGCACACACACCCACACGCACATTTGATAAATAAGAGACTTAACAAACAGAGTGTAAAAGGTCAAAATCGAATCGATATCGGTCAAAATGTTTATTTAGAGGTCAAATCATTGGTAGGAGGTAAGAAAAATAAGGGGTGGAAATATTACTAGACAAAATAAGCTTCGGTTTTCTAATTGGATTAAAGTAGGGTACCTTCACAGTAATGCTAAATAATTTTCGAACAAACGGAAGCACTTTAAGCCATTTTACGGATACGACTCTAAAGAATTTAAGTTTAAGACCCTAACCTGTTATATATATATATATATATATATATATATATATATATATATATAGAAGCAATGTTACACTTAAATTTATCACCCATATCTCTCTGAGGTACTTTGCGATAAGATAAAACTGGTCACCTATATCCGGAATCATTTGTGTTGGGTGATTTCACTTATTCTTGCAGCCACTTAGGAATGTGTTCTGTAGTCCTACCTCGAAGGTCTCGACGGGTCCTTTCTATGTATGTCTCAACGAAGGGGGATGTGAGACTGTCTTTAAGATGCTGTGAGGGTTTACAGCACAACATATAAACATATATAAAAATGCATTTGACTGTATTGTAAATTCTGTAGAGTTCCGTGCTAAGTGTTTGTTTAGTAGTCAGACTTTGAGAAACGCCGTTGGACAACAAAAAGTCTGTCTGAACATTCTTTTTTGATTTGATGCTTTCTATGACGCTTAGTGAATTTTAAAGGATAGTTATTATATATTCATATTTTTTCAAGGTTTAGCTATTCTTCTTCAACGGTATCCTCCAACCATATGCCCTGAATACGTCTGAACGAACATTTAAAATTACTCAATTTTATACTGGGAGGGGCAAAAATTATGATTATTTAGATACTGTTCCATACGAGTTGTGTTCTTCTAAACAGATCGTCTTATTGATCCATGTTAGCGAGTTCTAAGTACATGCATAAATGGCAGGTAGTCATTAACCTTCTTCGGCATAACATGTTAACGATATACTACTTTATTTTTGATTGAACACTAATCAGTAACTAGTGTAATGTGTCTAGTCCTATCTTCGGTGCAGACTGAATTCTATCAGTCATGCTTGCAATGTGGCCACCATGCTAGGTGGCTCGCCATTACGGTGCACTGTGAATTGTTGGTACTAGATAGTTGGAGACAATCGGCAGGAAGCCTTGGACCTT